GGTGAAAGACACCATGGTTGGTACGTCCAGAATGAGGACGCACAGGAAAACTAGGACAGTGATGCGGCGTACCGTTGGTATATCCCAGTGCACAGTGGAGCCTTGCAGCGACCTGGCCAGCGTTGACACTCTGATGGTCGCCAGAACCACCGTCAGCCAAATGCTGGTGGCATGACAGATGACCGACGTGTTCGAGTGGAACAGTACGAACACGGCCAGTTTGTACATAGCCGATGCGCTGTAGCGGAACGAACCGGTAAAAGCCTGGATGGTAAGGGCCAGGTAGCTTGACATGACGACCAGATCGCAGACGGCCATCGCCGTCAACACGTTGTTGATCGAGTGCTTGATGAGTGAATGACGGGTCAGTACCACCAGATTCAGCACGTTCAGCGTCATGCCGAAAACACAAACGGTGACAGAAATGTATGGGTGCAGTCGGTGGTACGCCGAATTGAACTGTGTTAGGCTGTCGTAGACGTGGCTGGAGTTCGGCAATTGTACTGAACCGAACTGGCATAACAAGCCGCCGAAATCCGTCTTCCCCATTGCACGTCCGGCAGTGCCCGTAGAGATTCAGCTAACTGGACGGATCATAACGCTCAAACGCCAGGCCACTACTATTGCGGGACCCCTGCCGAGTCCGTAATGAACACACCGTGCAACGCATGTTCGTTCGGTCAAAGAACTGTGATGCTCTGTACAGCACGGCGACGTTTCAATGGTAAACTTACTTTACAATGCGATCAGAAATCAAGCCGACTTTCTCGGTCTCCTGTCGGTCAGTCGGATCGAAGAGAATGTTTGCGTGAAAATTGCCGTCACCGACGTGTCCCACGATGGGTCCTGAAAATCACCAACTGCTGATCATCAAGTAACATGCCAACTGAACAGGCGAACAAAATCACAAGCCAGTAAAAGATACGAAAAACATTATTTCGGAAACTGCGCCAATCGTCTCTTCCTTCACGCACTGCCAACGAGTAGCTCCTCCTCTTTTACATCCGCACTGGAGTGCATAGACAGATGCACCTGTAGTGAAATCGTATGATTTCATGACTATGGTGTGAACCACAGATATATGGAGCACCGACGATGAACTTATGAGCTTAGGCCATATTTCAGCTCTGAACAAACATGAATCTGAATTATGATTGCAAAAAAACGACTTGCGAAGAGTAAGGAATCGAATCTTTCGGTAGGTGCTGCATTAAAATAATCTTGATGTTCTGAGATAACAGCCTATCGTAAAATGTAGCTTTCCAATTTCGCCCTGAAAGGTATCCATTTTTGGTAGTTTTCTGGAACATAGAGGTTAAATTTTATCTGTGTATGCTTCTACAGATATATAAGTCTGTCCAGAGTAGTACATCTCTGTAACCGAGAACCGACAACGTAAAATCAACAGAAGAATGAGGATGGCATGATGCAACTTTAGAAGACCGAATACTTCTCCTACCTGGCAAACTACCATTGTGACTGAAACGAAAACTTTTCGATCACTGTGTGGTTCTAGCGCTGAGGTATGGGTGTAAAACATTTATCCTAAGCCTGAAAGTTATGCTAAAACTGCACGCTGTGGAGCACAACATGGAAACGTGTGTTCCGAATAACAAAGAAAGGTAAGACGAACGAATGGTTCAGAGCACAGACCGAGTTAGGCGATGTCAGTGCCTGCGCGAAGAAATGAAAGTGGCAGTGGATATGACACGCTGCAAGAAGAACCGAATATCGCCGGCCCAGAGAGACATTAGAGTGAGTTGCAAGAAACAGAGCAAACAGCCAGTGGCCACCAGATCAATGATCGGATGAGCTGAGAAGGTTTGCTGGATCATAATGGATAGAAATAGCAGAAAACAGAAGTTTATGAAAGGTCTTGGAAAGGGCTTCATCTAGCAGTGAGTCAAAAGACTGACGACGATTGATGGTGATATTTCTACGGATGAAGGCAATTTAGTTGGTGCCTGAACGCAAACGTGCCACTCTTCAGACAAACTCACAGATGCGATCGTACATCAAATGCATTGTAGGTACCTAAATTAATACATGGAACCGCATTCTGCCCATATTGTCTCCTAGATCTTCAGAATTAAGGGGACAGTGCGCTCACGTCGATTAAATCCGGAAAATGAACTGATTTGATAACTTAACCGGCGAAATTGAACAGCTACGATTTGCGATAGTTGCTTCGAAGTTATACAGGAGTTGTGTTGCCTCAATTCGATATTTACCAAGGCGATAAGCCATGATACCACTAACGACGTTTCGCTCTGCATCATTCAAACTTTCCTCAGAATAAAACTGGCAGCTGCTGAATGCAGTATCTTCTTCGTCTTTAAAATGGCCGTAGTTAATGGCAGTTGTTGTCTTTGTTTGGTTTTCTATCAGAATCACATCAAATCGTTTGTTACGGTTTATCGCTTTGAGTAATCATTTTACAGCACTCTGTTAAATAAACCGCATTTTGTTGTACGAGCAACAAACAGTTGTTAACGACAATCGCGGAATACGAATAGAAAATGAACTCGGAAAACAAATTTCATGGCTTACAGGTTCAACACCACGCGACGAGCTATTGGTGCAGCGTAGAGAAAGGGATGTAAATTGAGAATTTGGCGTTAGCATCATTATGCGAACGACCGATGGGAAAAGGTAAGCGAACACATATTTTACTACTGCTACCAAGTGCGGACGGAATCAGACGGTTCACGAAAATGCCTGATTTCTACGGAAGCGACGTAAATACGTCCAAGTACGGAAATACGGAAAGACATCAAAAATAAGTCTAATGAAGTCTGACGAGGTGCAAATATTCAGGCCTTCAAAATGCATAACACAACGCTGAAATCCAAAAATTGTCTTTTTACCATTCCTTTAAAAATTAAATCCATAAGTTTGAGTTCACGAAAATTCGAGCTTCGAGAAAAATGCACACTACGCTATTTCGGTGAATTTTTCAGTTTGTTACACTATCACCACCGTTGAGTAAGGCGCGCCAATATATTTGACTTCGCTGTTAGGAAAGCTAGAGGTAGTAAGACGCAATTAGCCCACATGATGTTAGTCTATTTGGCGTATAAAGTGTTCCAAATGCAGAATTTTAGACGACCTCCAAACAGAATTCGCTTTCGCGACTTTTGACTTTCCCAGGA